ACGCCAGCACGCGCCAGCGCGCACAGCCGTTCCAAGGACTGCCCAGCAGCAGTCAGCACGGCCAGCCAGTCAGCCAGCGCCAGTGGCCAGGCCAGGCAGCGCCCTTGTGTGCAGCACTCACCAGGCCGCTGGCCGAGCCAGCACCCGACTGCCCAGTTCAGACCGGTTCAGACCGGCTGGACCGGTTCAGCCCATATTTCGTTGTTTCAGTCCCGGTTCTCAATTTCAGTACCATTTTCAGTTAAAATTCTGGGTTCAGTTCAGTTCAATAAAATAATATCAGTTCAGTTTCGTATTTAACCGGTTCCAGTTATACCGATTAAATCCGAATATCATGTTAAGTCAAGTAGAGCATCTTAACATAATTAATCAGTTAATTTATCAGTCTGAGTATAGTCCTTAGTAATTGTTTATATTATTTTTCAGTTTGATCAGGCATCAACACTACCTGCATTTTCAGTAGTTCAGGTGGGGACTCAAACTAAGTACTACATTGATTATAATATCGCTACCATGTTTGAGGTATGTATATTCAGTATCCGCTCGGATTGGTCGCCGGTCCATTCTGGGTTCTAGTGGCCCTAATCTGCCCACTAGAGTGTACACATGGTGTCCGGTATTAGTTTGTGGCGACAGATGTTCAGTTTCAGACACGTGACTTATGTCACGAGATCAGTATCAGATTATTCAGTCCGGTATCAGATATCAGTTTCAGTTCAGTTATATATACCATGATCATGATATTGTTTTTATTTTCACTGTTTTACTTTAGTATGGGTTTTCACGGAGCATAGTGTTTTAGTGCACACGTCCCACATATCTCATGTTTTTCAAGTCGCGGAGTCGGGGACGAGCAGTGAGCTGGCGAGCTGTTCAGGACATTTGTTTTGTTATGTATAAACTATGTTTTGACCACGCTACCTTTCCGCTAAAACTTTATGTACTTAAACTCAGTTTTTGGTTCGACACTAGTCGGTTAAAATATTATATAACCGTTTTTATTA